GAGGAAGCTCGCAAGGTCTTCGATGGCATGGCTGGCCGATGTAAGTGGAGACAGCAAGCTGGCCTTGGAGGTGTCTTTGGCATGGCTCGGGAGAACGATCCGGACGAGAGAACGTTTGTTGCTGCGCTCATGGCCTGCATCCACCTTTCAGCGTCCGAGCCACCTGTTCCGCGAGAAGATGGAAAGCTAGTGCGAATCCAGAGCCTAGAAAAGGGGATGGAGATTCATTCTCTCGCCGCGAAGTTTGGACGCTGCGAGCACAGATTTGTCGGGAGCAGCTTGGTGGACATGTATGCCAAGTGTGGAGATATGGTGAAAGCTCGAGCAGTTTTCAAACGCATGCCTAGCCGGGACGTTGTCGTTTGGACGAGCTCGATACAGGGATATATAGACAACGGTGAGAGTGAGCTCGGGCTGGAACTCTTGGAGTGGAAGGAAAATCCAGGCTGAGCTTTACAGGCGTGGGCTGGAAGACGATCAAGTTGTGGGGAGTAAACTTCTACAGGAAGTGCGGAGTTATGAGTGCGAGCACTTGTTTGGATCTCTGGCAGTCCGAGATATCGTCGCCTGGAATGCACTGATCACAGGATTCGGCCAACAGGGTGACACGTCGCGCATGTTCGAAGCCTGTCGTGAGATGCGAGAAGATGGCGTGCGAGCAAACGCCATCACGTTTGTCTCGGTCATCACTGCTTGCAGCCACGGCGGCCTAGTTGAACGAGGCAGGGAGTTTTTCCAGGCAATGGACCCGGACTCTGGCATTGTTTGCGGGATTCATCACTACAGCAGCTTGGTGGATCTCGTAACCGAAAGTCCTCGAGAGCATGCCTTTGAGAGCGGATGCTGTGGTTTGGAGGAGCGTCCTCGGGGCCTGCTGTAAGTGGAAGTGCGTTCGAGGCACTGACGAAGATCGACGAGAATGACTCGGCTGCGTACGTTCTGCTGGCGAGCATCTACCGGAGCGCGGGGCTGTGGGGGGATCATGATAAGCTCAAGACTATACAGGAGGCGGCCTTGAAAGCGGATAAGAAGAGTTCACTTCATCAAGCAGTCGTGATGGATTACAAACTGGAAGGTAGAAAGGACGGCAGCAACATGGTGGACGAGCTAGAGATTTGATTGCCAGCATCCACAGAGCTGGGAATGAGCTCTGCGGTTTGCCGCAAAGTAGGTCCAGAAGAACGCGTTGAAGAAGGCTGCCACGAAGATGCCAACGCTGACAAGTGCTATCACCTCTCTTTGGTCCTGTTCGCTACCACCTTGTCCCTCTGTTCTAAGCTTATGTGGCGGCATAGCAGTGCTCGAACAGGTGTTGGTCAGTGGCAAGCCACAGAGGTGATTCCCAGCGAAGAGAGCCGCGTCCATGGACGAGAGTTGTGGGCTGTCAGGTATCCGTCCCACCAGGCTGTTGTTGGAGACGTCGAAGATGGTGAGAAACGAGAGGTCCGCCACGGACGATGGTATGGAGCCATTGAGACGATTGCTTGCGAGCCCCACCCAGGAGAGATTCCTTGCCTTCCCCAGGGACTCGGGAATGGGACCTGTTAGCTGGTTGTGGCTCAGGTGCAGCACCTGGAGCTTGTAGAGGTCGCCAATGGCAGCTGGAATGCTTCCAGTCAGCTGGTTGAAGGAGAAGTCTATGGAGGTCGGGAAGGCGAAGCCGTTGTAGAGGAGTCCTCGCGTGGTTTGAATCATCACAGACCGTTTGTTCTTGTTGTAAAGCTGGACGTTGGCAAACAGTCGGCCAATGCTTTCCGGCATCTCCCCAGAGAACCTGTTAACCGAGAAGTTCATGGCTCGTAAGTTCGTGAGCCTGGGAAGCCAGTCCGGTATGGAGCCGCTGAAGCTGTTGTTGTCGAGGAAGAGGAACTGCAGAGACGACATGTTTTGCAATATGGCCGGGATTGAACCGACAAGATCGTTGCTGGAAAGCGACAGAAGGAGCAGGCGGCTCAAATTCCCGAAGCTGTCAGGGAGATTTCCAGAGAACTTGTTCTGCCCCAGCCAGAGAACGACGAGCTCAGTGCAGTTGGAGAGTCCGGAAGGGAGCTCCCCACCGATGTCGTTACTGCTGAGAACTAGCTGCTGGAGATGTGAGAGCTTCGAGAGCTCGCCAGGGATTGTTCCAGTCAAATCATTGCCGTTGAGCCATATCTCTTTGATGTTCGACCAGTTTCCAAGCTCTGGAGGTATGGCGCCACTAAAACGATTCCCCGTGAGAACCAGCTTCTGGAGATGCGAGAGCTTCGAGAGCTCGCCTGGGATTGTTCCAGTCAAGTTATTGCTGTTGAGCCATATCTCCCTGATGTTCGACCAGTTTCCAAGCTCCGGAGGTATGGCGCCACTAAAACGATTCCCCGTGAGAACCACCCTTTGGAGATGCGAGAGCTTCGAGAGCTCGCCTGGGATGGCGCCACTAAAACGATTCCCCGTGAGAACCAGCTGCTGGAGATGTGAGAGCTTCGAGAGCTCGCCTGGGATTGTTCCAGTCAAGTTATTGCTATCGAGCCATATCTCTTTGATGTTCGACCAGTTTCCAAGCTCTGGAGGTATGGCGCCACTAAAACGATTCCCCGTGAGAACCAGCTTCTGGAGATGCGAGAGCTTCGAGAGCTCGCCTGGGATTGTTCCAGTCAAGTTATTGCTGTTGAGCCATATCTCCCTGATGTTCGACCAGTTTCCAAGCTCCGACGGTATGGCGCCACTAAAACGATTCCCCGTGAGAACCAGCTTCTGGAGATGCGAGAGCTTCGAGAGCTCGCCTGGGATTGTTCCAGTCAAGTTATTGCTGTTGAGCCATATCTCCCTGATGTTCGACCAGTTTCCAAGCTCCGACGGTATGGCGCCACTAAAACGATTCCCCGTGAGAACCAGCTTCTGGAGATGCGAGAGCTTCGAGAGCTCGCCTGGGATTGTTCCAGTCAAGTTATTGCTGTTGAGCCATATCTCCCTGATGTTCGACCAGTTTCCAAGCTCCGACGGTATGGCGCCACTAAAACGATTCCCCGTGAGAACCAGCTTCTGGAGATGCGAGAGCTTCGAGAGCTCGCCTGGGATTGTTCCAGTCAAGTTATTGCTGTCAAGCCATATCTCTCTGATGTTCGACCAGTTTCCAAGCTCCAGTGGTATGGCGCCACTAAAATGATTCCCCGTGAGAACCAGGATCTTCAAGTTCCTCAAGCTTCCCAGCGTAGCCGGGATCGTTCCGCTAAACCCGTTTAGCCCGAGGTTCAAAACCTCGATGCTTGCAAAGTTGCCATCTTCCAGCTCCAGTGGCCCGGAGAGAGAGTTGTATGCAGCGCGTAAAACAGAGAGCTTGCGTAGCCTTCTCAAGCTCGGTGGCAAACCACCATGAAGCGAATTGTTGGAGATACGCATGTACCTGAGCTCCAAGTTCTTGCTCCAAATATCGGGTAGATCTCCTCTAAACCTGTTATACGATATGTCCAGGCGCGTCAAGTTCGTCATCTCCCCGAAAGTTTCTGGAATGGAGCCGCTGAGTCCGTTCTGCGAGAGTTCCAGTGCCTCCAGTCCCAGGTTACCACCAATGGAAAAGCTCCCAGTTAAGTTGTTGATGGACAGGTTGAGCGATCGCAGCGTCAAGCTAAACTTTGGGAGTCTGGCCACTGTTAAGAAGTTCCCACTGAGGTCCAGGCTTTCCAAACTCTCGAGGCTGGAGAGATTTCCGGGGAACTCTTGCAGGGAATTGGAGCTCAAGTTGAGGAGGTTGAGCTGCGTATTTTTGCAAGGGACTTCCAGCGAGGAGAGGCCGTTTTGCGAGAGGTCCAGGCGAGCCAGCGATGGAAGCTCGGCCCAGGTGGCAGGAAAAACTCCCGAGAGATTAAACCTGGACAGAGCGAGGCCCTCCACTTGGTTGTCCGAGCTCCACTCCACTCCCCGCCATGCTCTTGGATCGGCAGTCTCGTTCCACACTTTGATGCCAAGCCTGTCACGGAGAGAGAGAAGAACCTGTGTGTCGTTCACGATTGCAGATGGATTTGTGGGGCACTGTGACCGGGATCTTGTGAGAAAGACGAGTAGAAACAAAGGCAGCAGCAAATCCGCGAGAGACATGGCCATGGATCAGAACATCAAAGAGTGGGAGCTATCATGAAAGATGAGGTTCTTCTTTTCGCAGAGTTTACACGCACAAATGTTAATCAATTCTTGGCACACTTGACTTCGAGCCGATTGAACCTTGATGAAAGCCTTGGTAGTCAATAAAGTGGGGGATTTGGGATTTGCCATTGGTATACTGGGCTATCAACTATATTACATAACATAGACCTTTGCACAATTTTTTCTTGTGGTGATTTTTTGGCCACGGTGGATACAATGTGGACTTCGGCAGGTCAAGACTTAGACTTGACTTCTGCCAGTCCGTACACTACTACATAAAAGCATTATAATGATATGTTTTTCCAACGAAATTTTTGTGTTTGTTCGAAATCTAAGTTTTAATTTTCAACTCAACTTAAATGTAGCAAATTGGCTTTAGTTACAAATTTTAAGATAGCTTTATAGTTACTCAAATTTAAGTTGGAAATTATAGTTGTCCTTTACAACTAAAATATAAATCATAATTTGTTCTTTAAAGCTAGATAAGTTCATATAGGCTGCTAATTAGAGTTGCAATTTACAACTTTTAAACTGTGACTAAAATGTAAGTTCTTAAGGTTTGTAGTTCCAAAATTTTTAGTCATAAATTTCAACAATATTTACATCAACTAACTTACTAATAGTAGTATAATGTACCCACTTTTAACACATAATTTCCTAATTTGTTTTTTTCCTCAGATCTGTATTAAGTTTTTTGTTTAGGATTTAGGAATGAGAGTTGCATGTTGGTGTTTAAGGTGTAGAAGTAATTATATTTACCTTATACAAATTATTATAAATCATATTCGTCTTTATGGTAAACAGCTGAGTTGTCCTTGTTTGCTCACTCGCTCTCTAGCACTATCAACCTTTTACCTTTAGGATGGAGAATGCTTGTCTATAAGCTCCTGGGAGAAGGTCCATAGCTTGTGAGTGAGCTCGGGATCTCTGCCATAAGCGCTACAGTTGGATTTGTTGGAATCCACGAAGTATTGCCCGGTGACATCCTTGAGGCTTGGATGTAAAGCTGCGTAGCACGTCGTAGCGGCGCCCTGAGAGATCGATCACGTATTAGTCATAAGAAACTTCCAGATAATTGAGAGAATTTTTCTTACCTATGGGACATTTTTCCAAAGGAAGCTGGAGAGGAACTTGAGAACCCCTGCATGAAGATCAAAGTTCCATAAGTAACCGAAAACAAATGAGGCAAAGAGACAAACTCATTATGTAGGATGTGTACCGCATCAAAGGTGTCATTATAAACTCTGGATGAACAGCGTTGGCTGTGATGTCAACTCCTTCAGCCTAATCAGCAAAAGAGAAAGCATTGACAAAAGAGAAAGGTGGGAGAGATTTCAAAGCATTAGATGAATACCTTGAATCTCATTGCCAGTTCTTTGGCATGGAAGATGTTCGCAAGCTTGGATTGACTGTATGCTCTAGTGTTGGAGTACCTTTTGGAAGAAAAAAGGAAGAATGATTGTATGTTATTTCATAAGGAGAATAAAGACCTTCAATTTTATAGAATTTCTAATGCTAGCAAGCACAAAGATTTTAATAATTATATACCTGAGAAAATAATGCATTATTTCTTTATTATACCTTGACTTCAACAATAATTTCAATATAGAGAAATAACACAATATATAACTTATCATTTTATCATCAATCCACTAATGGAATAATGAGAATGCCTGCAGATGGGTCAACTTAAAAAAAAATTCGAAGATGATTATCCAGATTTTGTAGTAGATCCAAGAAATATACATCTTAGTATGGCTGAAGATGATCTTTCTCCAACAAAATTAATGGCAAAAATATATTCATGTTAGGCAATTGTTGCAGTTAATAATAATATACCACCAGCTCTAGCAATTAAGCCTTCATTTATATTCCTTATTATGATTATACTAGGTATTAGTTTAAAAAAATAAATTGAAATATTTATATCTATAATTTTTCTAGGCCCAAAACTTCCTAAGGTACTTAATATTTATTGGTTATTATTTTTGGAAGAGTTAAAACAATTATGGGATGGAGTGCCATGCAAAGATAATTCTAAGCTAGAGGGTCAACAGTTTTTTAAGCTTAGAGAAGTAGTGTGATAGTTTATTCATGATTTTCCTGGATTATGATTTTGTTCCAAGATTTTGAACTAATGGGAAAATACTTTTACCCAGATTGTGGATCTAGATTCTTAGAATATAGTCAAGAAGTTTATAAAAAAGCATATATATTGGTCATTGGTGTTTCTTACCTATAGATCATCTATTTAGGTCTACTAATAGAATGTAAGATTTTAGTTATTATTTCTAAAACATAATTTTAATTAGTTTATTTAATATTCATAATTATATTTGACCAATACTAGGACAAATGAATCCAAAAAAATAGGTACCATATTATTATTTGGTTAGACAAGAAGATCAAATATCATTACCTAATGGTATGAAATGGTTATATCCACATTTTATCAACTTCCATATTTTTATAAGTTGCCAATAGCATTTTTAAAGAATTACACGCATATATTTAAGAATGTTTTTGAAATTATATATAAAACTATTACTGGTAAAAATGATGAATTAAGTACTAAAAAAGACTTATTTGTGTACAGAATGAAGTAAAATATGTGGCTGCTACATGATGGAAAAATTGATCATAGAACTTGGACATTAACAAGTCATCAAAATAAATTATTTATTGATAATATAGAGGCTTTTAAAGTTTTTACAATATATGGAACTGAATTTTCAAATTGTATAGATGAGAAAGGTAATTTAATAGGTATGAAAACAATTGGCTTCATTTACTATGAGTACGTTTCTAAATTTACTAAAATGTTAATTAATATAGTTATTAGGATTTTTATCCCATTTTTATAATGGGAAACACAACACTAGAAAGTAATATATTTGCTTGGAGAAGTTTTATGGTACTAATTGATTTAATTTTTTGAATTCAATTAATTTTAATTTTAATTAGATTTTTAACTGCTCAAGAAGTACATAAATCTTTGATACTTTTTATGAAAGAAAAGTTAATCATATGTGTGTGTTTATTGGAAGTAACATTACTTACAATAGCTATGACAACACAAGCACATTTTTGTCGCAAATATGACTTCGGGTATCAAAAGATACTTGTCGACTAATCCTTACATACACTCTCTCCTTATTACCATAACAGTAGAAGGTTATTACTGTTGGTTCCCTTTATGGTCTCCACCCAAGCTAGTTGAGAAACTAGTTAGCACATGTGCACTTAAGCCAGAAGGGCACTAAAGAAGGAAATCCTAAGTTATTATTAAATCAAGCATACTAAACATGGTAACGAGAAACTCGTATTGTTGATTTACACTTGCTAGTGTTAAGAACCCTTGTGATATTGAGCTTCGTCCCTCAATATTCACTAAACGATAGCTTACTGTGTTTGCCAAATACCCTCGCTATCATGCTCTTTGTATTAATCTCATTTTAGTCCCAAATGTTATTTATGAAAAGTGTCTAGATTTGCTCATTTGACATATTTACAGAATGTAGAGATTGTCTTGAACACAATGGTGTTTGTCCCATGTTTAAATTCATAATTTAGGGGTATTCCACATTTAGTAAGTTTCGAGCTTGTCTCAGAAACTAACTCCTGATACTAAGGGAAGCTTGGGTGAAAGCTCAAAACATGTGTTCCTCAGGGGGGGAGGAGGTGTAGTGGGATATAAGGGGTTCCAAATGTATAGTAGGGATAGTGGGTAGGTTGGGCATAGCTGACCAACTTGGGGCATAGTCTAGCTCCCGTTTGTGTGCTTATCTTTATTTTACATCCGGCTTGGGTCTAAGCCTAAGTTCCACACCATGCTAGTTGGTGGAGTACTCATATCCTCATGTTAGGCCACCGATATGCTGAAATAACGCTAGATTCCATTTGGCACCATTTTACGTGTTGGTTCTGGCATTGGGATGTTAGATGCTCTATAACTATTCTAAATTGCTTCGTGCTTCTATCTTTTCACTCTTTGGGCTATACGCTTGGGATTCATTCCATACTCTAGTGCTATTACTCCTTGGTTCCCAAGAAACAAATGTGAAGCCTTTGCACCCAAACATATACCCACTCGGATCATCATTTTCATCTCTACATATTCAACGAAATTAGTTGCCCAATCTCATTGGATAGTACTTGCTAAGACTCATCCTCTGATACTAATTGTAGCGCATGTGGTTTTCACCCTTTATCCTATGGTGATTTACCATAGGATAACCATGAAGCGGAACCTAAACCCTCCATATACCATGTGTCATATGCCACGTGTCCAAAAGATAGTGGAGTGGAGCTTGAGTTTCAAGGCCTTGGGCCACTGAATCAAGGAATGGTGCCAAACTCCCAAATATGGTATGGATTTGGTTGCTTTTTTGTACCTTATTATATGAGTTTGCTCTTGGGCTCCTAAGAGGATTGAGATGTACCATTATACACAAGTTTGTGCTTAGGCTCGTGAGTGAAGCACATTAGCAACTCGAGGTTACACTTTGAGTTAATAGGATTAATATTAGCCTAACAATGGTTCCATAAGTTATTCCAATGGTTCCATGAGTTGTTCTATGTACCATGGGAAAAAGTAAACCTTCCTTGAGTTTTCTAAGAGTGGTAAATAGGTTGGCCTATAGTTGTTTAGCACGACACTAGTGGATCATTCCTAGGCATAATTATAAGTGGATCAATCAAGACTATAGGGATAAGTCTATTGGTTCAAATAATCATTGCCGTGCTCTCTTATAAAATTTTCTTGGATTGGACTGAAGGCAGTGCGAACGCAAGTTTGAGGTTTGGTTAAAGATGGATAATCGTGAAATGTTAAACCATTTTAACTTGACTTACTGTCGCGAATGTGACTTCAGGTATCGAAAGTTACCTGTTGGCTAGTCCTTACGGACACTCTTACCTTACTGCCACGATGGCAGGAGGTCGGTATTGCTGGACCCTTTATCAGTCCCTCTTGTGCTAGTGGAGTTAACTGGGCATTTCGAGTGTACTTAGACCGGACGAGCATAAGGACGGAATTCCTACGTGTTATTAGCTAAGCATACTTAGCCCGGTAAGGAGTTCCCGTCTCGTTTTGTCTTGCACTGGCTAGTGACAAGAACCCTCGCG